AAATTTATTACTTTTTATATACATTAATTATAAAAAAATATATTTATTATATTTTTATCTTAAATTTTATAAACACAAAATAAAAAATCTTAATAAAATATCATATTCCTATGGGACGTACCATTCTTTGAGACAAAGAGTATTTATGACCCGTCAAAAATTTTCATAAAAATCTTCATTGCCTATTATTAATAGGTGATGGGACTGGAAATGAGGATGGAAGGTGTACATTTGAAAATAAAAAATGTTACATTTTAAAAAATCTTTACCTTACATTTTAAAAACATAAAATAAAAAATCTCAATAAAAAATCATATACCTGTGGACCTATCATTCTCTCGGCACCATAAGACAAAGAGTATTTATGATCCCGTCCAAAATTTGCATAAAAATCGTCATTTCCTATCATTAACAAGTGATGGGGTTAGAAATGAAAATGGGGATGAGAGGTGTACATTTTAAAATAAAAAATCTTACATTTAAAAAAGTTTGTATTTTGCATTTTAAAGACACAAAATAAAAAATCTCAATAAAAAATTATATAACCATATGGTACCAACATTTTTCCACATATGAGACAGTATTTATGATCCTATCAAAAATTTTCATAAAAATCGTCATTACCTATCATTAACAGGTGATGGGACTGAAAATGAAAATGGGGATGTGAGAGGTACCTGCTTTCATATGGACCCGTTACCATTTCTAAGTGTGGGGCTGGAAATGGAAATGGGGATGTGAGGTGTGCCTACATTTGTATGGACCCGTTATCATTTCTAGGTGTCATCTATTTTGAAAGCTGTCATCAACTGCTGTCGTTAAATAATATAAACAAATAATTTGACGTGCTATATTCTATAAAGCAGTGCTGCCCCATTCAGTTATTAATAACCAGTTAATAACATTTTTCAACACTATGAGACAAAGAGTATTTATGATCTTGTCAAAAATTTTCATAAAAATCATTATTCTTTATCATCAATAGGTGATGGGGCTGAAAATGAAAATGGGGATGTGAGGGTGCCTACTTTCATATGGACCCATTACCATTTTTAAGTGTGGGGCTGAAAATGGAAGGGTTCCTCACAATTGAAAAGTTTTTTATTTAATAATTGATATTTTTTAATATATAATTATAAAATATTATCTTCATATTTTATTATGAAAATAATATTTTTTTTTAATTTGGATTGCATAAAAAATATACAATTTAAGTTGAAAAAATTTTTGTTTTATTATTTTGAAATGTTTTGTTTATTTTAAATTGTATAAAAATAAAATTAACTATTAAAGGGAGAGAAACACATAAATGTAAGACCATATTCCCAAATCAAGACTTATCCCTTTTTGTAGTCAAAGTAGGTAATACAATAAAAAGCAATATGTTTACTATTTACAACTAAATTTGATTTTTTTTTATCAAAATAGGCAAAAAAAAAAAAAGTAAATTGAAGCTTAAATGATATTTTTATTTTTAATAAATGATATGTGATTCATATTATTTTCCAAAATTTAAGGATTTCACGTTAAAAAAAAAAAAGTAGTACTAGTAGCTAGGTATTTCTGTCATTTTATATTTCCTGAAATAAAACGGTAAAAAAACCAGTGCACAGGGTTAAATCGTAAAACGCGTAGAAGCAAAATAAATTAAAATGCATAAACAAGGCTCAAAGCTTTTCCATGATTCTACAGTTGAAAATTTTTCCCGACGGGTGAACGGACAAGAATCGTCTAAAACAAGGAACCCTACCCCGATGAAACGCAAAAATAGCAAATCCAGGTTTAATTTCTTCC